TAGTTTCCCTCCAATAAACTGGGTCTTAGTTTCCCTCCAATAAACTGGGTCTTAATTTCCCTCCAATAAACTGGGTCTTAGTTTCCCTCCAATAAACTGGGTCTTAGATTCCCTCAAGTAATGTCCTTGGATCGACAAAGCGTGTTTGTCTTCCCCCTGCTAAAATTAACATAATCTTAACCACTTAATCAACCAATCAATTAACTAAATATATAACATAATAAGCAAACAATAAACACAATCAAAGTGAAGCACGTTTTACCTGCCAATCAACAAGAAAGTCTGGTACTGGATAGCGATGAAGGTCGGAGTTAGGATACGGTGACTGCCTTGCCCTGATGTGGAGATCATGGTCATGTGATATATTGTCGTATTCAGTTGGATTGCGTGATGATGAAGGCATGGTGCTTGAACGAGGGCGAGCAGGTCTTCGAGGAACTGAAAACAAGGAAGATATAGAGGATATTACATGGGCGCGCGGAGATACGAAATTTATTTTCGAGTGTTGAAAAGATCTCCCAAGAGTGAGCGCAGCGAACGAGTGAGAGATTTTCAACACGAGAAGATAAATACTTCATATGTACCATTTCCGTCGCAGCTTCTATGTTCTATCTTTTGAACCCGAGTGTATTCTAAGGTTACTCGTAAACAAAGCAATGCTACCAAAGGGAATGACAGGTAGGTAGTATGAGAAAAAGGTTAATAAGGTCTTTACCTTCAAGTTCATTAGGTGTGTCCAGACTCTCAGCTCTTTTTTGACTCAGATTTGATCCTCTGCTTGGTGTAGCAGGGTAGCCATCTTTCTGATCATATTCCGCCTTCGTTTCTGGGTGAGTATCTTCTGATTTTGAGATATTCCTGGGCAAGGTGTTACTACGGAATTTTTGAATGGCCTTTTTGACGCTGCTTCCACCAGTATTGAATTGCTTGCGATACTGATATGGATTGGTCAGGGGCAGCTTGGTTCTGAAGTACATTCGTGGACTCGATCGGGGAGAAGGGACTTGCTGGTGCATATAGGCAGGCATGCTAACCATTCGATCGAAAACAGGACCTGTGCGATCATCTTGGATAATGTACCTATCGTATCCAGCACCCTCTAAAGTATGTCCTCTTGTGTCATCTTGTTCGTTACCGTTTGAATCGAGAGTTTCTTCGTCGTGTTCTGCCAAGGTCTGCGGAAACATTAGCTGTAGATGTCCCACGACATCTAGTATTTGCAACGTGTATTCTTCTAGTTTACTGTGTCGATCTTCCAGAGAATGAACTACTTTAGATATTTTGTCAAGTTGAAACGCATTGGAATCAACCCTGAGGAATAGAATTGTAAAACATTATTCAACTCGCAGCGCGAATCAATGTATGTTGTCCCTCGGAGAGGCTTCGAAGRACGTCACACGTGACAAAGTGATTATAAAAGCGATTGGTTCGGAAGGGCATGAACTGATCTAGGCGAAATGTATCTTTAGCTCTTGATTAATCCAAAGTGCTCCCAGAGTGTGGTTATACAGGGCTATAAAAGTTTGCAACATCCATTGCAAGTTAAAGAGCAAATATTATTTGTTGCAAAGAGTGTAGACAGCTTCGTACAACGCAAACTTTCCTTACCTGTCAGATATACCCTTGACTCGTTCCTCCTGAGTGGCACTAAACACCTTAGCCTTTTTCTGCAAGTAACTCTCAGTGCATTGTTCTTCAAACAGCATTAACTTGTTGAGTTCATCTTTGGTCAAAAACAGCTCTGAAACAAAGGCAACGAAACTTTAGTACGTAACAGCGAAACACTTCTCGACTAATGAATCACCACACAGATACCACAAAGCGCACTACACATATAAAGCGCACTACACATATAAAGGGCACTACACATATAAAGCGCACTACAGATATAAAG